CAGTCAAACTGAATAAATGTTAGTCCACCTTTAGGTGTACTATTAAGAAAAGCTTTTGATCCTTCTGGTTGTTTGATTTTTTTTAAAATTTTTTTTAAAATTTTTTTTATTGCTCTTTAATATACTCATTAGGTAATTAGTGGTTTAGTGCCTGACATGGTAATCAAATTGCATATTAACAACATATATTCTTTCCTACCTTTTGGTCTGCAGGTTCCACTGATACAGTATTGCCAGCAATTGGGATCTACCGTGTCAAGTCATGATGCATGTTTCACTCAGGCTGCAGATTCGTTGTTTTTCATGCATGACAGTCTACAGCAAGCTCGTGCTCCGGTCTATGATGTTCCATCTGCTGTTGAAGTTCTTCTCACAGGTTCATATCCTCGTTTTCCAAAATGTATGGAAGATGTGGGTATGCAGAGCTCATTAACTGAAGAGCAGCAAAAGCCAGCCTTAAGAAAGCTGGATATGCTTGTGAGATCTAAATTACTTGAGGTTTCACTTCCTAAAGAAATTACTGAAGTTAAAGTTTCCAATGGTACGGCTCTGCTTCAAGTTGATGGGGAATTTAAGGTGTTAGTAACTCTTGGTTATCGAGGGCACCTGTCAATGTGGAGGATATTGCATCTGGAATTGCTTGTTGGTGAGAAAAGTGGACCTGTTAAGCTGGAACAGTTGCGACGGCATGCCCTGGGAGATGACTTAGAGCGTCGAATGTCTGCCACAGAGGATCCATTTATGATATTACATTCGGTCCTCCATGAGTTCTGTGTTGCACTTGTTATGGACACTGTCATAAGGCAAGTACTAGCACTTCGACAAGGGAGATGGAAAGATGCAATTCGCTTTGAACTGATATCTGATGGAGGGAGTTCTAGTTCCACTTCACTGACTCAAGATGGTGAATCTGATTCAGCTGGTATACGAACTCCAGGATTAAAACTTGTTTACTGGCTAGATTTTGATAAAAACCCTGGTGCAGCTGACCTGGGATCACCCCCATATATAAAAATTGAGCCAGGACCTGATCTGCGGATAAAATGTCATCATAGTACCTTTGTTGTAGATCCATTAACTGACAAAGAGGCAGAATTTTCTCTTGATCAAAATTGCATTGATGTTGAACAGCTGCTGCTAAGAGCCATATCATGCAATATATATACTCGGCTTCTTGAGATTCAAAAAGAGTTGGTGAAAAATGTTCAGATATATCGAGCAGGAGGCGATGCAGTTCTTGAATCACATAAGAATGAGCCAAATATTGATTATCGAAAGGTTTCTCTCTTAAATCATGGATTTTTTTGTAGTTTGATTGCTCCTGAATGCAAGAAGCAGATAAATTGTTATTAATGGATTGTCACAGGATATTTTTAAAAAAGTTGTGATGTCAATTAAATTGTTATTCATGGATTGTCACAGGATTAACTTAACAAAGTTGTGATGTCAATTTAATGGCCCATTTATAGGATGGTTGCTGAAATATTTCATCTCAAGGCACAGAGAATATATAAAAGTTGGGGGATTATATTAATGTTGTTCCATGCTTTTTAATGCTTCACCCGTGTAGTCTGCTACACACTTGTTCCTGGCATCTGTTCTAGAGTTTGTCATCTTTTGATGTTAGCAAGATTTAATGATCTAATGTCACTGCACTGAATTTTTTTTTCCTGCAGAGGGATACAAAGTTTCACAACAAGGACCATCAATGGCAAGAGGCATTATGTGTGCGTGCTTATGGCTCCTCATTTTTTACCCTTGGAATAAATATAAGGTTTCATTCTTCTTACCAGTTTCAAATTTATATTTATGTTTGAGTTTTCTTTACTATTTTTTCCTCTTGTTCTCTCTTGTACTCCTAGTGTGTATAATTTTATACAAGCCCATAATTATCAATGCCATATGTGCATGCCAAAGAAAGTTTTATTAAAAAAAATAATGAAGCCATACAAAATCCCTGAGGCTGTGATCTTGGTATTAGAGTCTTTATAAATGACATAAGGGCACATTATTACTTTTTTCATCTTGCCATTGGAATCAAGTTAGACTAGGGAAAGGGTAGGAAAAAGTTAATAGGAAGAGAAAAGTAGAAGAACCCATGGAGTCACACCTGGGTTTCTTTAGGCATGACAGTTAAAGAGGATAGAACATCCTTAGGAATCTCAACTAAGGTTGATTAATGTTCTAACTAGACTAGAACTCTCAATAAAATTTAAATATTCAACAATAATAAATGAATCCTAACATGACTTTTAATTAACTCTCTTATAAAACTTTTTAAGAGAAGAATAATATTTTATATAACTCTACCATATGTTCTTCTTTTTCCAGGTCAGTTGGTGTGCCCATCTATTATAGAGGTTTGAACCCTTGGCATGATCTATAACCACTATCAATTAAGAAATAGACCTCAAGTTTGCTTCCAAATTATATTAATATAAACGTTAATTACAAAGCTGAAATCTGACATCCTATGTTTGATATATGTGATTAATGGGTGGTGCCCATGTGGCCACAGCCTGCATATGCATTTTCATCTTTAAACTTGATAGGGCACTTTGATGAGTGTTGAGTTAGCTTTGATCCGTACAAGCCCAAAATATTAGTTCAGTTTCTACATCATTTTGAAAAGGATTCTTGCATGTTTTAGTTTTGCAATCTTTGACAATAGGGAATTCAATAATTTGAAGAAAACTTTGGCCTAAATTTTTTAATCTCAAGGCTGAAATGCAGCATTATTATTCAACTAAAAATGTGGTGAAGAAATATTCTAAGAGCTAGAAAATTTTGTTATTTAGTTCTGTAATGTTAGTCAAATTATTTCAGATTTTGGAAATTTAAATATTATGTGAAGTTCAATTGCTTGCGTTGTGGGAACCAAACATGACCACAAGTCCTAATTTGTGGACCATGAACCAGATTTCTTACTTCTTTTGTGTGAAGATTACTGTAAAATGACCTTTGTTCTTTATAATCTGTTTGGGCCTCTTAGTTGGAGTTAGTGGCTTTGTGGTGTTTCTCACTGCTCCATTACTTTTCCTGTATTTGCTTCTTCTTAACTCTTTATGTTTTGATTCATTTTTTTTTCTAGATTTTTGGTGTGCATGGCACTCTTTTCCTTGCTCTATTGAATGTATGAGCTAAGTTTTGTAATTGCAGGAATGGCCGGTTTCTTCTCCAGTCATCGCAGAATATTCTTGCACCTTCAGTATTGTTAGAATGTGAAGAAGCTCTAAATCAGGGAAGCATGACAGCAGCTGAAGTTTTTATAAGCTTGCGAACCCAAAGTATCGTACATTTGTTCGCTTCAATTGGCAGATTCTTAGGCCTTGAGGCAAGTATCACATTCCTTTCTTACACATTGCTCCTATCCAGAGAAAAATGATTGCATCACTAATGCCTTAAAATATTGCTCATTAGTGCTTTTTTTTGCTGTTTAACTTATGTTAGTTAATGAGTATATTTATAATATTTTCAGGTTTATGAGAATGGTTTTGCTGCTGCAAAAGTACCCAAGAACCTAGTTAATAGTTCAGCTGTATTGTTGATGGGGTTTCCAGACTGTGGTAGTTCTTATTTTCTGCTGATGGAACTTGATAAGGACTTCAAGCCCTTGTTTAAACTTCTAGAGACTCAGCCTGATCCATCTGTAAAAGGTCATTCTTTTAATGACTTAAACCATGTGATGCGGTTGAAGAAAATTGACATTAGCCAGATGCAGATGCTTGAAGACGAAACAAATTTGAGCATACTTGATTGGGGAAAATTACATAACTTGTTACCTAATTCTGGCAGTCCTAACCAGACTTCTGAGCATGGCCTTCTTTCTGAATTAAACCTTGATGGTTCTATGCAGATCTCTGGCTGCCCTACATCAAGTTTTTCTTCTGTTGTTGATGAAGTATTTGAACTTGAGAAAGGAACATCTGCACCTCCCTTCTCTTCTCAAATTATCCCTTCATTCAACACGCTTCATGCTTCTCATTTTGGCTCTGTTTCGACAAATCTCCATAGCATAAGAGCTGGAACACCCTCTCCAAAATGGGAAGGGGGTTTGCAAGTATCACAACTAAACAATGTTGCAAAAGTTTCAAGTCCAGCCACCCAATATACTGGTTCATTGTTGCCATCAAGCACTTTGAAGGGCTTAGTTCAGTCTAGTTCTTTTGGTACACTTTCTTCTGGCCCAGGAAGAGGTACGGCTATGAAAAAACTAGCAGCTTCAAAATCTGATCAGGATTTGACTTCTCTTAGATCTCCGCATTCAATTGAGGCCAGCACACTAGATGAAGATCAGTTAAGATTGCTGAATGACGCTTCAAAGGATGCATTATCTGTAAGTAGATCATCTAGACTGTTATCTCCACCAAGAACAACTGTCCCTCGAGTTGTTCCTCCTAGTGCAAAACCTAATGGACCTAGAAGCTCATCTCCTGCAAACCTAACTGGATCTTTTAGAGCTGCTGTGTCAAGCCCTTTGGCTTCACCTCCCGTATGTAAGACACCTTCTCTATGATTCATTGTGTTCTGGAATCTGTCTCTTTTATGTTTTATTTTATGGTCTTTGACTATTCAAGTAACTGTTGCAGCCCAGGCAGCAGATAATTCCAGTTTTCATGGTACTTCTCTTGATATTGTTTCCAAATATGACAAAAATCCAAGAAAGCGCACAGTTGCAGATATGTTGAGCTTGCTTCCTTCCCTGCAAGGTATGGAAGTCAATGCTGGATTCTGCAAGAGAAGGAAAACCTCTGAGTTAGTTATTCAGCAGCCTTCATCACAAATTCTTATATCTTCAGAAATGATCTCTAAAGCTGAATCATGTAGTTATGGGAATCTTATAGCTGAAGCAAATAAGGGGAATGCACCTTCTAGTATTTATGTTTCTGCTCTTCTTCAAGTGGTCAGACATTGTTCGCTATGTATTAAGCATGCTAGGCTAACTGGTCAAATGGATGCTCTAGACATTCCATATGTTGAGGAGGTGGGTCTAAGAAATGCATCCTCGAATATATGGTTTCGTCTCCCATTTGCTCAAGAGGATTCATGGGAACATATATGCTTGCGACTTGGTAGACCTGGAAGCATGTACTGGGATGTCAAAATAAATGACCAGCACTTCAGGGATTTGTGGGAGCTTCAAAAAGGGAGCAGTGGCACACCATGGGGTTCTGGTGTTCGCATTGCAAATACATCTGATGTAGATTCTCATATTCGTTATGATCCAGAAGGTGTTGTTCTGAGCTATCGATCTGTTGAGGCAGACAGTATCAAGAAGTTAGTGGCAGATATACGAAGGCTCTCCAATGCTAGAATGTTTGCCCTTGGGATGCGGAAATTGCTTGGTGTAAGAGCAGATGAAAAACCAGAAGAAGGCGGTGCAAGCTCTGATGTTAGAGTGCCAGTTGGAGGCAAAAGCACTGTTGAGGTAGCTGATAAGATATCAGAGCAGATGAGGAAGGCATTCAAAATTGAGGCAGTAGGGTTATTGAGTTTGTGGTTTAGTTTTGGTTCAGGTGTCCTAGCTCGGTTTGTTGTGGAGTGGGAGTCTGAGAAAGAAGGTTGCACAATGCATGTTTCTCCTGACCAACTTTGGCCTCATACAAAGGTTTCTTTTATTATTATTACTACTACTACTTTCTTTTCAGATTTCAATAAATTTGTCTGAATTTGAGATATTCTTTGCAACCATTATATGTACTAGAGCATTGCATGCTGTTTCAAATCTCTATATAATTTAGTTCCATAATGATATGCTAACTTAACTTGTTGCTCCATACAGTTTTTAGAAGATTTCATAAATGGAGCTGAAGTTGCATCACTGTTGGACTGCATTCGCCTTACTGCAGGACCTTTGCATGCTCTTGCTGCTGCAACTCGGCCTGCTCGAGCTGGTCCTGTTCAAGGAGTTTCTGGGGTAGCTGCATCCATGTCTTCTGTCTCCAAACAGTCAGGACACATACCATCTCAGGGACTCTTGCCCAGCAGTGCTGGTACAAATGTTAATCAAGCTGGTTCTGGTCCAGTGGGGAATCCTGCTGGATCTGCTTCTGCAGGCTCTGTTGCGAATCTCAATCTTCATGGGGCTGGAATGTTAGTTGCTCCTGGGAGAGGTGGTCCTGGCATTGTTCCCAGTTCATTATTGCCCATTGATGTCTCTGTTGTATTACGTGGCCCATATTGGATTAGGATCATATATCGCAAAAATTTTGCTGTTGATATGCGATGTTTTGCTGGAGATCAGGTTTGGCTGCAACCAGCAACACCACCCAAAGGGGGCTCTTCAGTTGGTGGGTCCTTACCATGCCCACAATTCAGGCCTTTTATTATGGAGCATGTTGCACAAGAATTGAATGGAATAGATTCCAGTTTCACTGGCAGTCAACAAACAGTAGGGCAGGTCAATGCTAACAATCCAAATGCCAATTCAGGTCCACAGCTGTTGGCAAATGGAAACAGAGTGAACCTACCTACATCTGCTGCGATGAATAGGACAGCAAACCAAGTAGCAGCTTTAAATCGTATTGGAAATGCCCCTCCGGGGTCAGCAAATTTGGCAGTTGTGAACTCAGGATTGCCCATACGCCGTGCCCCTGGTGCTGGTGTTCCTGCACATGTGAGAGGGGAACTGAATACAGCCATCATTGGCCTTGGTGATGATGGTGGGTATGGAGGTGGATGGGTTCCTCTTGTTGCTCTTAAGAAGGTTCTAAGAGGAATTCTCAAGTATCTTGGAGTGCTGTGGTTGTTTGCCCAGCTACCAGATCTTCTAAAACAGATCCTGGGGTCAATATTAAAGGAGAACGAAGGTGCACTCTTGAATTTGGACCAGGAGCAGCCTGCTTTGCGCTTCTTTGTGGGGTAAGACAGTAGTAATTGAAATTTATATGCATAATCTGTAGGAAATACCCAAACTAAGTAGCTCCAGAACTTTCAACTGATGCTCATTGTAGTCCTCCTCTTTGGCCAATTAAGCGCTTCATCTATTCTATTTTGTCAAATAAGCCCCTAATATAATTGGTCCATTAAGTAAAATTTAAAATTAAAGAGAAAGAGAATCAATCTATGCTTTGATGGTAACACCAATTGGTTGAACCAACATTCAGCACCATTTAACATTTTCTTTCAATTCTTCAGGTTTTTTTTCTCTTTGTATTTTTTATTATTATTATTTTTCAGATGAGTTTAATTGATTTAATACTAATTGAGGTTATTAATAAGAATAAGGGACAAAAATGTCATCGAACTAATTTTGGGTTTATTGGACAAGGCTAAAGTTTGAAGTTTTACTCTAATCTGTAAGTGTTCTTTCATTTCTTGAAACTTACTATAGTTCAAATTCTCATTGTTTCTCATGTAATTGCATAGATCCGCTGGTATTACATTTTATTAATATATGATTAAAAACATGAATAGCTTACCAGTGTATGTTTAGGATATGGTTAGAAAATGGGTGCATAACTCATTGTCATTGGAAAAGTGATGAATAATATTGGACTATACATGATATGAAAAGGACAATGAAGATGTTTTAGCTTTGCTTAATACAAAGTTGGTGTCTTTTGATGCTGCTGCTGCTTTAATTGTGTGAAGCCTTTAAAAAAAGTTATCTTAGTGGATGGATTAATCTTTGTTCCTATTAAATAGCTGGCATTGTTTGAAGTCTCTTACTGGCCCTAAATTTTATTGACTTTCCAAAATGTTATTTTTTGTTAGGTGGATGTGTTTCATTTGATTTGGAAGGGCGTATTTTACTTGAATAAAGCTCCTTGTGGTTTTTCTATAAAATTTTTGAGGCATTGACGACTTTATGTTGTTATTGTAGCTTTTAAGTCGTTATTCATCTTGTTCTATGTCTTTGCACAGGGGTTATGTGTTTGCTGTAAGTGTCCACAGAGTTCAACTTCTTCTTCAGGTTCTTAGTGTGAAGCGCTATCATCATCAGCAACAGCAACAACAGCAACAAAACTCTGCTACCACTCAGGAGGAATTGACTCAATTGGAAATAGGTGAAATATGCGACTACTTCAGTCGCCGTGTTGCATCAGAGCCCTATGATGCTTCTCGTGTGGCATCCTTCATTACTCTTCTCACACTTCCAATATCAGTTTTAAGAGAATTCCTGAAACTAATAGCATGGAAGAAAGGTTTAGCCCAGACACAAGGCGGAGATATAGCTCCTTCGCAAAAACCCCGAATTGAATTGTGTCTAGAAAATCATACTGGGTTAAATGCAGATGATACTGCTGAGAATTTATCTACATCAAAAAGTAACATCCATTATGATCGACCCCACAACTCTGTCGATTTTGCGCTGACTGTAGTTCTTGATCCTGCTCATATACCCCCTATAAATGCTGCTGGTGGAGCTGCTTGGCTACCCTACTGTGTCTCAGTGAGATTAAGATATTCTTTTGGTGAAAACCCTAATGTGTGTTTTCTCAGTATGGAAGGAAGTCATGGAGGACGAGCCTGCTGGTTGCGTCCTGATGACTGGGAAAAATGTAAGCTGAGGGTGACTAGAACTGTGGAAGGTAGTGGGAATCCTGCTGGAGACATCACCCAAGGAAGATTAAAAGCAGTTGCAGACACTGTGCAAAGAACACTTAACTTCTGTCTTCAAGGATTACGGGACAGTGCCGGGGCTGGTGTAAGCTCAGGGGCTACCTGATCTGTCCATCACCACAAGGAATGGGAATTATCTTGTTCTCGTGTTTGGTAATTTTGATGTTTGATGGAGGGAAATTTCATCACCGGGGAAATGGAAGATGTAGCCATAGATGTTTCAGTCTTCAAATGATAGTATAGTCGATAAAAAAACTCATGCAATGATTGGTGCTAATGGAACCTTAATCTTCAGCTAACTTGATTTGCTACCAAGGATTTGCAGTATTTTTGTAAAGTTGTAGCGGCTTTTTTTCTTTTTTCGTGTGTAGATCATACTTGTACAAAATTCGTCCCACTGGATTTGTTGTATACTCCAACAGATGCATGCTGCTGGATGCCATAGATTGCCTTTAGACTGATATCTATTTAGTCATGATTTCTCTCTTAAAACACTTCACAATCTCATTTCTAGATTTGAGGAAACGGATTAATGTTTATTGGAATATTTTTACTTCTTAAGGTGATATTCTTGGTTGCGAAGTAATTGTTGATTTTCGATGATTATAGAATTTAGAGCTAGTTGAGACTTACTTAATTTGAAAAACAACAATTACTTTGAACAAGTGAAGTAATTTTTAGTAAAATTTGTCAACTGGCAGAGAGCAAAACTCAAAGAATGGACGAGGATAAGTAGTAGAACACAATTTCAATAACCATTATAAGCAGTCGAATGAAATATGAGCCCTCAACTTCATTTCACTATGCAGACTACTCAAAATAGCCATGATCTCAGCCCACCTTGCATGCCTCTTATCTGCAGCCACAAAATCGTGAACAATTCCACCAACGGCTACACTACTGCAACCAGCAATCTTCTTCAATCCCCTGTTTTCCATGACTTCCCTAATCTTGTCAGAGTAGCTCCACCTCCCACTCGCAGCATATGTATTAGACAACAATATATACCCACCCTCGTTATCTGGCTCCAGCTTCAGCAGCTCTGCTGAAGCCGTCTCTGCCATATCCACTTTTCCTTGAGCTCGGGAAGCATTCAACATGGAACCCCATATGGATCTACTGGGTTTCATCGGCATCCTATCAATGGCATCCTTTGCCTTGTCCAATCTCCCTGACCTGCAGAAAAGATCCACCAAACATCCATGGTGCTCTACTACTGGTTCAATTCCGTAATCTCTCTCCATACCATAAAATATGTTGAGTCCTACATCCACAAGTCCGCTGTGACTGCAAGCAGTGAGAACAGCAAGAAGAGTCACCTCATTTGGCATTAGTTCCTCTTGCATCTGGTGGAACAGTTCCACTGCTTTCCTTCCACAACCATGGAATGCAGATCCAGTAATCATTGCTGTCCACACTGCGACATCCTTGTCACTGGCTTCCCTGAAAACTGCAAAAGCTCTTTCAATGCTTCCACATTTGCAGTACATGTCAATCAATGCTGAACTCAAGAATGCATCCAACTCCATTTGCAACCTGATTACTAGCCCATGTATCCATCGTCCTAGGTCCAATGCTCCAATTTCTGCTGCAGCTGACACCAGATTAATCATTGTGACATGGTCAGGTCGAACATTTTCTGCAACCATGTCATGTAACAACTGTCTTCCCATCCCATAATCACCTCTCTGGACGTATCCAGCAATCAAAGAGTTCCACGAAACAATATCCCTGCTGGGCATCTGGTCGAAAAAAGCCCGTGCAGTTTCCATCTTCCCAGCCTTGGCCAACCCTGCAATCACGGTGTTCCAGGAAACAACATCCTTCACCATTAAGTCATCAAACACCCTTCTCGCAAGCTTCAGTTCATTGCATTTCACATACATATCCAACAAGGCATTACACAATATTGAATTCAACGAAGTAATATGCTTCCTCCTTTCCATCCATGCGTGCACAGACTTCCCCAGCTTCACATCCCCTAATTGCCCAGAAGAAACAATAAGGCCCAACATCGTGAACTCATCAGGTTCAAGATCAAGAGCCAGCATCTGATGGAACAGTTTCAGTGCCTCAACACAATCATCTCTCTTAGCATGGTGCCCAATCATTATGTTAAATGATGCAGAATCTGGTTCTGGCATTGACACAAACACCTTATTTGCGAGACCCATTTCCCCACTCTCCAAATACATCTTCATGAGTGAATTCTGCAAATACCCATGAGACAAAAACAACCCGGTAACAACAGCATGACAATGCACCTGTTTCACGTCAAACAAACTCTTACTTGCTTGAAGAAGGTAAAGTAGAGTGTGCTTATCAGGGTAAACGCAAGACCCAAGCATACAACTATATACACAAAAAGATTCACTTGAAGAGAAAGATAAAGCAGAAATCATGGTATTGAAAATGAAGAGATTCGGAAAAGGAGTGAAATGGTGAAAGAGAATGAGAGCAATGTCCATGTTTTCAGGGTGCGAAACTGCTGAGAAGAATATTAGCCTGCTCATCGGAAATGTTTGGCATATAAGATCGGCTCTCATCATCTGCGCCAAAATTTGCTTGAGATGATTCCTTGAGCTGCATTTTTCGAGCAAAACAAGAGATGGGTGTTTGAGTTCAAGGGAAACGATTGGATCCCAGTTGGGTTTTGGTCCGGTAATGGAGGATTTGGAACTGAAACATCGGAGTGCTCGAATACAACGGTTCATGGGATGCAAGAGATGATCATACTTCAATCAATGCATAAGATTTCCATCTTCCATGGGTACCTTTACCTTGTCGTCTTTAGATATCCCGCAAGTTCGAAAACAAAAGAGGGCTGAGGAAGAAGATAGGTATAATTGTAAATTTGTAGAGGTTTTATGGGCTTTTCTAGTGATTGTCGTATTTTTTTCTTTTTAACATAAAATGGTTTAATTTCCCCACAATTTTAATAGCGTAATTAATTAAAGGTTTAAGTACCATTTTGGTCCCTCAACTTTTTACTTTGGTACCAAAATTGTCCCTTAACTTTAAAAAGTACCAAATTTATCCTTAAATTTTCATTTTCGATACCAAAACGGTCCTTCCGTCAGTTAAATGATAGGTGGCACGTTAATTGGCCAATAAATCTTTTTTTTTTTTTGCTTAACTAATGACAGGAAAAAAATAACATAAATGATCATTTTTTTTATGAGTTGGCATTTTGATTTAATTTAAAAATAATAATTTTTTTGCATCCACGTCATCTCTTCTTCCTCTTTCACTTTCTCTCTCCTTTACCTTTCATGTTCCTTTACCTTTGCAAACCTAGATCTGGGTTCTCTCTTTCAAACTTCTTCTTCTTCCTCCTTTCCTCCTTTAGTAGTTTTGTCTCCTCATTCTTTATGAACCTTCCTCCTTCTTTTCCCTGCTCATCCTTCTTTTTTCTTCTTCTTATTCTTTTTCTCTCTCTTCTCCCTTATTCTTCCTATCTCAAACCCAAATTTGGGAAATTAAATTTTTTGTTTTCCTAAAAGAAAAAGAAAAAAAGAAACTAAATTCTTTGTACTGCATATTGCTAAAACCAAATCCAAAAGTCGTTCCCAGTCCCATCCATTTTTCCCATTCCCAAACCCATCCCCTACAGTTAGAAACACCTCTCTCCTCCTATAAAAATCCTACTCCTGAAACCCTAAATAGACCTGGCAATTTTTTACCCAACCCGTTAACCCGCCCATTACCCGCCCGTTTAAAACGGGTTAGGGTCATATATTTATGACTCGTGACCCATTAATGACTGTTAAGAGAACCCAATGGGTCAC